AGAGAGAGAGAGAGAGAGAGAGAGAGAGAGAGAGAGAGAGAGAGAGAGAGAGAGAGAGAGAGAGTCAAATATTTATCTCAAAAGCAAATGTGACATGTGATCTGTGTATGTGTCATGGACAAAATCATCCAAAATTAAAAAATAAATACACGATAACGCGAGTCAACACACACACAACCAACATTTAGGCTATTTGATATATATGAACTGACACCGAAACAATTATTTCATCATCATCATTATCATCATCATCATCATCATCATCATATTCTGCACACAGGCTGAAAAACAAAAAGGTTCCTGAGTTCAATGACCAGTTCGCTTCCAAATATGTAGAGTGGCGAGTGACCACCAGCAGATGGGACTGTAGGAGTGACATCGCTGCTCATCAGACTCTACTCGTGGACTCTTGATTCATCTTCTGTCCTTTCAAAATGTGCTCTTAACCAAGGTTGCTCAGTAGGCTCTGTTCTAAGAAATAAATATATTATCTGTTCAATACTGTACATGGCTCAGAAAATACGAAAGGCTCAACAACTTAAAGAAAAAGTGACAATATTTATAATTAAGTTATATATTGTACATAGAGAGAAATCAAAGCATAGTTTGCATTTTGAATTTTATTCTGTTCAAACCCTGCTACTGTGTCACACTGCTAGTCATGTGGAAACGGAAAAAGGCCCACGACGAGGGACACAGGCGAACTTTGATACCATCGAAATAACAAAGATGTTCTGGCTTACAAAGCAAGGAAATGCCTGGAATTCCTTTAAAATCAGCTTCGGTRGAGAAGTTAGTTAAGTTGGACAAACCTTTTTTTTTTCAGTCCATGCGTCGTCGATGACTCGAATACTACCACACTAAATTTTAGTTTAAAGTGCCTGTGACGTGCGTATTCTTCAAATACAAAAAGTCAAAGAAAACTTCGTTATATTTAAGAAAGTTMGAACAATACACACAATTTAACCCATTTTGTCCCATAACTGGCATGTTTTCTTTTGAACTTTGCTCAGCCAAAGTGAAACAGGAAGTGACATCAAAGGGGAACTCTTTAACYAAGTCTTTGTTTATGGAAACACTATTATTTGAACTCTGACTCTTCGTCTCTCTGATACTCAAAATAATCTTAAAAATCAGATTCTTCTCTACAATCTGTCAGCTGTTGTYACYACGCTCTGTTCACATGCAGACATTCATTCCCCTTTGACATCACTTCCTGTTYCTTRACAGGCAAAAATCTCAACAACTGTTCATCTCAGCCACATGAAATTTCTTTTGCAATTTTTTAATTAATGTCTTCTTTCCAAAAATGCATTCAKATGTATTYCAATAATTTGACGTCACAGGCACTTTAATATCTGCAAAGTTGACTGAATTGCTGCCATTTTTCAGTAATGCTGGTTAGCTGTGGTGGCCTTAAAGTTTTATTAAACTCTGTGTTTGCAGCTACTACTACAAAAGTTAGGATCAATAACTAAATTTGACTGAAATATAGCGTTTTTTTGTGTTTTCAAATGTCAGTCGGCTGTGGCGGCCATCTTGTCCTGGATTGATTCCAACATTTCCCTGAAAGTTTCATTAAAATCCGTCCAGTTGGTTTGTGAAATGGGTAATTTTCACAATTAACAGTCTCAGCTTCTCACKAAATTTTAGGTCAATACCTGTAAAACTGACTGAGTTTTGACTTTTTTTTTTGGTAGTTTTTTTAAGGTTTGTTAGCACAGACAAGCTGTTCATGTATCAAAGTTTGTTTCTGTCCCTCCTCCAAGCTAGTCATGGGTCAGCGCTCAGCAGCTACAAGCAAGCAAATGCACACCCTTCACCCGTTTTAAACATTACCCCTTTTTTCTGCATTCTGTTTTTTTCCCCCCACAATGCTTTTCTGTTCACCTTCTCCGCACTAAGAATGGCCGTTCCATTCTTAACTCGAGTGCACTTTATCTACTCGCTTGTTGAAAGTAAAGGAAAAAGTGGACGTTTGACGGGTCCGATAGGCGAAACCAGACTATCATATWTAAAAAACAAAAAAGCATTACTGTATGATGTTTTTTGCGACACGAGTGATGAATGAGGATGTGAAGAGATTTAAAAAAAACGACAAAGATATGTAAACTTTCTAGCACAAGCTGTAAATACCGGCTCAGATATTCCACTCCGTCCAGCTCAGATACGTCCCGAGAGGCCATTTTTCACGTCATGAAAGGAGTATGTTCAATCTGTGATGCACACATCGAGGGAAAAAAAAAGGACAAAAATAAAACTACCCCATTTTTTAAAAATAAAGCTACATTAAATGCAAATAAAAGCAGAATGCAATGATGTGCTAATCTCATAAACGCATATTTTATTTACAATATCAAGTATCAAATGTTTCAACTATGGGATGTTAAAAAGATTGTTCCTCTCAGAGACTACTGAACCTCTGCTCATCCCTTTTTCTAAAATGCTCTTAAGCTAATGAGTTATCAAACGCCACTTCCTATTTTATAATGTTTTACAGGGTTTTTTTGCAACATGTTGCTGCCAGTAAATTCAAAATTCTTTTATCTTTTATGGTATCATTTCAATTTGTTAAGTGTTCTATTTTGAATGAAATAGCATTAGTAAATTGTTGCTTTTTGCTTTTATTTACATTTTTTTACACCACATCCCAACGTTGTCAGAATTGAAGTTATAATAATAATAATAGTAATAATAAACKACAAAGGCTGGTATTATAGTATCCAAAAACTCCATATTTGGAGTTTGTGTCATAGTGATGTGAAATAATGAGAATAATCTAAGTTATTTGTAAATGTAGGAGCGGTTATAGACTCTTATTTTGTCTGTAACAGTTTTATTTTGGATGTCTGATGAAGAAAATCTTTGGACACTTCCTCCCAGTTTTCTCCTGCTTTCACCCGCTACCAGAGAGAGGCTGTACTTAACAAAAAAAAAAAAAAAAAAAAGGAAGGCATAAACTGTATCAAATTTAATTTAAACAGGACTTTTGGCAAAGTGCGTATCTTGAGAGTGTATGGTTTCCTGCTGTATGTGTATATTAGTTTGCTGTAAATAGTCTGATGCATGTTCTATTCTCTCCTCAAGCAGAAACATGTACAGCCGTGTCTCTGGTGTGTGCGTGTGTGCGTGAGACGTGTCGGGATTAAGATAAGGAGACTTTTACCGGATCTGTCCTTCCTTATCTTCCTTTCAAACTCACCGGGCAAAAGAAAAAAAAGGGTTACTTTTGTTTTCTTTTTCTTTTGGTTTTTATTTTAACGTATTTGCTTGCTGAGCAGAGTTCTCTTGTCTGTAAATGTGAGCTTTCAGATCGCTGTGATAAAACGTTTCATTAAAACAATAAAAAAGAATGTGTTTTTATCTCATGATAACTGATTGTAATCTGTACAGTCCAAAACTATGTATTGAGGAAAAAAAAGAACATATTTATAAATGGTTATTAACCGAACACACCCTGCATGTCATTTATTTATTTTACTGATCTGTGCATTACATAGTAATGGTATTTTTATATATATATATTTTAGTTTTGGTCTTTAAACATCACAGTATTGTCAGAATATCAACAATGATACATAAATTTAGCACTCACTTTTAAAGCAATGCTGGGACACTTAGCAGGTAAAATCTAAAGATTTAAACAAATTTGTAGGGTACCGTAAATGTTTGTCCTGAAAGTATATATTTTTGAAGAACCACAATATTTAGTTACAAGCTGATAGTTATATCAGAATCCTAACAATTAAGACCCAAATACAAAAAAATAAAAACATCAAATAAAAAACAATGTCAAGTAACTTTAAATCCATAAACCGATAAAACTCACAGAAGTATCCTTGAAATACAACAGATAGCGAGAGATTTTGAAGATACATCTTCATGTTCAGTCTGTTTTCTTTTTGCCTGTGAAGAAGTGAACCAGTCCTGGAACCAGCACCATGACGATCTGAGGCACGAGGACAAACTTGACGAAGAACAGGGKGTAGAAGAGGCCCTGAGGCCTGATGGGCAGCGGCAGGCGGTTGACGTGGTAAAGACCCATGGATGAAATTGCCAAAGACAGAGCTCTCGGAGCCCACGGCAGGGACCAGCCGCCGGGCTTCCAGTACTGGGCCAGACCCAGACCAAGGAGAGCCCCGCAGTCCCGAGTCAGAGAGGAGAACGGGGCTGTATCCAAACGGACCCACTCTGAACGACTGCACCACTTCTTAGCCAAAGCTATGGACCTGTTACACACAACACAACACTGAATGACAGCCAAATATCTGTAGAATGACAGCCGAATATCTGCTGAATGACTGACGAATATCTGCTGAATGACAGCCAAATATCTGCAGAATGACAGCCGAATATCTGCTGAATGACAGCCAAATATCTGCAGAATGACTGACGAATATCTGCTGAATGACTGACGAATATCTGCTGAATGACAGCTGAATATCTGCTGAATGACAGCTGAATATCTGCTGAATGACTGACGAATATCTGCTGAATGACTGACGAATATCTGCTGAATGACAGCTGAATATCTGCTGAATGACTGACGAATATCTGCTGAATGACAGC